TATTGATATATTTAACACAAAAATTTGATATTTATATTGACAGCACTTTGATGATAAAATAAAATGTGAATTTATCTTTTAGATAATAATGATGTTTTTTGTGTAATATTAGAGATTTGAATAGTATATATGTAAATATGAAAGTTAAGGCATTGGATACGGAAATATATAAGAATTGAGTGATTTGTGAGCATATGCCCGTTGAAATGTGTTGTTGATGGAGATGTGTTAGGTATGGCTCATATATTATAGATGGGACAGATGCTGGAGCGGAGCGGAGCCCACGAGCGGAGTGGAGTGAAAGGTTATGTCCAATCGGGGGAGTTTCATTATGTGGGTTGGGAGTTTGGGGGCAACACCTTGCGGTTTTGTACATATGTAATTTAAGTAATTACATATTGTACTATATGGTTATATATATATCATGTTTTTAACCCTAGGTGAGTCTCTGAGATTCTGAGAGTTGAATATTGTATTATGTACTTTTTTCTGAATATTGAAAAGTAAGTCGTTGATCTGCTCCTGAGGATGTAGGCATCTTTGCCAAGTCTCATAAATCTCTGTGTGTTCTTCTGGATTTGTGTCGATTCCTAGTTTTTTTTCGCCCTAATTTCTCAACAAGTGGTATCAATGGCAGCTTCTAGGGCAGGTAAGAGAATTTTGGCGGTGTTTTTGTTGCACGAGTTCGTGTTTCAGCGAAATGAGTTTTTGGTGATTTGGCTTGGCGAAGTTTGGCGAGGGCTTTGTTTTCATAATTGTTGTATCCACGTTCGCGTGTTTGGATCGCAGAGGACTTCGGTACGCGTGTTTGGATCGCAGAGCAGTTCTGTACCAGACGTTGATTTCTATTGTTTTCACCCTAAATTTCTCAACAAATGATATCAGAGAATTGATTGCTTCTGGTGAGACACTGTTGCAAAAGGTTCATACTGATGAGAATGCAGCTGATATGTTGACCAAGTCAGTTACTATCAATAAGTTCTTGCATTGCTTGGACTTGTTGAATGCTTGTAGTTGCTAGAGAAGCATGGTGACCCAATGCACTTCTGGTGTGTAAGAAACTCCATGATATATTTCTCCTAAGGGGCTGGATATTCGCCAAGGTGGAGATTTGTTAGGTATGACTCATATACCATATGAGAGATATATGCTAGAGCGGAGAAGAGTGGAGCGGAAGATTCTGTCCAAATCAGGGGAGTTCTCTTATGTGGGTTGGGGGTGAGGTATATGTGTAATTTAGTAATTACATATTGTACTCAGAATTTTATAGGGTTATAAATAGACATGTATATAACCCTAGGTCTGATCCCATATTCTGTATTTTATACTTTTTTGTGGATTAGTGAAAAGTCGTCGCTCTGCTCCAGAGGACGTAGACATCTTTGTTGAACCTCGTTAAATCTCTGTGTGTTCTTCTGAATTTCTGTCGATTGCAGTTTTTCTTCGTCCTAATTTCTCAACAAGTGGTATCAGAGAGAGGTTCGAGGGTAGGGAAGAAAAAAATTGGGCGGCACAAAAATAAAGAAGATTTTGGCAGAGGAGATTGTCGATTAGGGAAGGATTTCGACAAGGTTCACGGCAGTTTGAATTTTGGCACAGAGGAAGTTCGAAGACTAAGAGGGTTTCAGACGGATCGACATGAAAACGAGGGCTTTTACACGAAGGCTTCAAGTGCGACACTAGACGAGCGCGGACAGTAGGAATTCAGCGAAGCTTCGGAGGAGGAGTCGGAGCAGGAAGGCGTCAGCGATATCGGCAGAGGCACAAGAAGACGTCGACGAGATGAACAGAGGGATCGCGACAGGAATTGCAGCGTTCGCGATCGCAGCAGAGGAATCACAGCTTCGGCTTCGACGGTTCTGACGGACTTCGGTTCAACGAGAGGTTTCAGCGCCAGGTGAAGTTGCTACGGGCAGAAAAGGAAGGTTCGACGTCAGCCTGGAGCGAAGGCGAAAATTAGAAGCTCCGATTTCATTCCTTTGCTTGAGGCGGAAGAAAATTGGAAGGAAATAAGTTTGATTTTATTCCTTTGCTGTGGAGAAGAAATTTGGAAGGGATATTTTACAGATTTCTCTAGAGGAAATAAAAAAATTTTCCTTCTATAAACAGGAAAATCTTGCTGCACGCGAAGATTTTCCAAGACGCAGGAAGACAAGGAAAGGGAATCTGCTGCTGCACTTGGGAAAGGAAAGATTTCTTTCTGGAAGGAAAACAAAGGCAAAGTTTTTCTGGAAGGAAAGTGAAAATGGAGCTTTTATGAGAGGGAAATCAGAGCTTTTCTGGAAAGCTCAGACGTAGCTTTTCTTGGAAGTTTAATTAAAAAAAATTTAATTAAGTGAATGTCCTTTTTATGGGAAATTTAATTAAAAGATTATTTAAAAAGATTTTTGGCCCAACCCACATTGGTGCATAAGAAACTTCATGATGCATTTTCTCTTAAGGGGCTTAATATTTGCCAAGGTGGAGATTTGTTAGACATATGTATTTCTCCTAAGGGGCTGGATATTCGCCAATGTGGAGATTTGTTAGACATGTATTTTTCCTAAGGAAGGGGCTGGATAATCGCCAAAGTGGAGATTTGTTAAACATGTGTATTTCTCCTAAGGAGTTGGATATTCACCAATGTGGAGATTTGTATTTTCTCCTAAGGGGCTAGATATTTGCCAAAGTGGAGATTTGTTAGACATATGTATTTCTCCAAAGGGGTTAAATATTTGCCAATGTGGAGATTTGTTAGGTATGACTCATATACCATAAAAGGGACAGATGCTAGAGCGGAGCAGAGCCCACGGGCGGAGCGGAGCGGAAGAATCTGTTCAATCGGGGGACTTTCATTATGTGGGTTGGGGGTGCGAGGGCAACACCACGCAGTTTGGTACAGGGGTAATTTAAATAATTACATATTGTACTATATGGTTATATAAATGTTTGTAACCCTATGTGAGTCTCTGAGATTCCGAGAGCTGAATCTTGTATTTTGTACTCTTTTTTGAATATTGAAAAGAAAGTCGTCGCTTTGCTCATGAGGATGTAGGCATCTTTGCCGAACCTCATAAATCTCTGTGCTCTTCTCGATTTGTGTCGATTCCTATTTTTTCTCTGCCCTAATTTCTCAACAAGATGGATGGATAGGTGATGGACAATACATTTATTTTCAAATTTATAAAATATCCAAAAATTTCAAATTTATGAATAACATGATCGTTTCAGCATGAAGATTCTCATTATAACGAATTCATTGATATGTTTTTGAACTACGAGTCAACTGAATATTTTATCTGATATATGGTATGTGATGACAAAAAGATAAACCGTTATAACTGTCCATTAGGCTAGACAAGATGTCGCCATCAAGGTCCCCAAAAACTTAATTTCCTATAATCCTAAAGTGATATTTTAAATTTGCTTTTGATTTGATGCATATGGTTTATGTTAATATAAATTTTTAAAATTTTATGACGAGCTAAAAAATCATTGATTAGTTAAATATTTGTGACGGTAGATTGCTCTCAATAATGTTTAGATACCAAATGATAGCATATCATCACTATTTTCTATCAACCTAAACTCTAACCTCAAAATTTGTCTCAAATTTACATGTTTTTTTTGGTCCATTGTCTTTGTTATATTCTTAGATTCTAAAGCTTTAAAGCGATATGTTTTGTTTAATGCATTGCTTTTGCAAGGCTGTAATTATGCAATATTTCGTCAAATGCATGCAGTTTTTTAGTGCTGTTTATGGCTGTTTTGGAGCTGATTTTTAGCAAGTTTGAAGGTGGGTTTTAGGACTTCTTGAGTGCTGAACTTTTAGCAGGTTTTGGACTCATACTGTGTTGACAACTCTTCCTCAACGCTCGGGCAAAAGGGATCAATAGCAAATGAATTTATGCGCTCACTTATCTTCAACTAATATGTGAAATCATTAAGCAAATCTATCTTGATCTTCTACATTCTTTTTTGTATAAATCTATCATGCATCATTTTTATGCATAATGAGAAGGAATAGACTTGCACGCCTATTTTCTTGTCCTCCATATCTATAAACACACAATCAAATGATTGTTCACTTCAATCATATTCAAATAATTTTTGAATGATAGTGGAACCACGACCAACCAAGAATGAAAAAAGAGTAATTATTGTTGAAAGCATCATTGAGTTATTGTTGAACATTATTTGAACAGATATAAGTCATCTTTGAACAATGACCGAACAATATTTGAATGACAAACTAATTATGATCTAAGCATTTTTAAATGATAATAAAATTAAGATTTGAATCATCTTTGAAGTATCTTTAAACAACAAAAATAAGTAATATTTAAATAACAAGCAAAATATTTTTTGAATAATAATCAAATATTAGTCAGATTAATGACCAAATATATTCGAACAAAGTCATATATGTTTTTGACTAATATTTGAATAGTGATCAAATAATAAATAAGATATATTAAAAATGATTGTATTACCTTCTTCAAACTACTTTCTAATGCTGATCAATTGATGATGATCAATACATTTTTTACCACAATTAATTTATATTCAACATTTATCTGATCATTGTTTGAGCTTTAGAATAATGATCGAATCATCTTTAAATCATCTTCAAGTAAAATCAATTTATGCTTTATCATATTTTAGTTATCGTCTAATCATCATTTGAATATTGTTCAAAATTAGTTCGATAATTATTTGATCAAATTTCTAACATATAGTTTGACATCTTTTAATGTCTTGGGTTATATTAGTATTTAGGTTCTAGGGTTTTTAGTGTAAATACCATATTTAATATGAAATAAACCAAACGATTAACAACATTAACATTCATAGTTCATGAAAAGAAAGAGATTATCCTTGAGAAATATAACCCCAATCCAAGCTTGTTATATAATATTCAGATTTTTCTGAATAACAAACTGATCCTTAAAACGAAATGGATTTCGTTCTGTCCGAGACCGAAAGGAAGCGCACTATAAACTTGTATATATAGAAGGTTCGAGAAGCACAGGAACATGGTACTCGGGAATCTCCTGAGCGGGCATCTCCTGAGAGCCCTACCGATAGCGCTGCCGTCCGGCCACGCTGCTTCGAGCGCCGCTCCACTTCACCGCCGACGAGTCCCTCTCGTTGGTGCTTTCTGGGTGCTAAGCCTCGGCGCTCTCTCCGCGCTCTCGTACAGAGCGGGGTGTATCCATTCCCAGCGCCGTGCCCCTCTTCTTAGGTACGAAACCCTAATGGCTTTTTCGTCGCAAATATTTATTTATTTATTGTTCTTCTTGAACGTAGTATTCGTTCCTCGATTTTAATAACTCTGCTCCAACAATTGCGACATTGGATGCAATTTAAAAATCAGCTTGGATTTATGCTGGGCAAGTCTACCATGAAAACTATACACATATTGAGAACTTGGATGGAGAAGTACAGAGAGAGCTAGGAGGATGTACATATGGTTTTTATTGATTTAGAAGAAGCTTACGATAAGGTTCCAAGTGAAGTTCTTTGGAGAGTTCTAGAAAAGAAAGATGTCAATATGAATTATATTCTAGTCATTAAAGATATTCATACTAGAGCCATTACTTGTGTTTGAATAGGAGGATTGACCGAGTATTTTTCTATTTTAGTTGGATTTCATCACGGATCAGCTTTAAGCCCATATCTTTTTGCTTTAGTTATAGATGCTCTTACTGAACATTTACAGGAAGATGTACCTTGGTGTATGCTTGTCGCTGATGATATCTTTTTGGTGGATAAGACTAGAGAAAGAGTTAAGGGAAAACTTGAATTATAGAGGTCCACTTTAGAGTTTAAAAGTCTTTGTTTGAGTAGATCTAAAATTGAATGCATGTAATGTATTTATAGTAGTAGCAGGGTTTAGTGTTTAGGAGTTTAAAGGCCTTCTTCTAAGTAGATATAAAACTGAATACATAGATTGTAATTTTAGTAGTAATAGGTCTACCGACAGAGTTGTGACAATGGGTGATCAAATCATTAAAAGGAGTGATAATTTTAGATATTTCAGGTATTTTATTCAAAGTGTTGGTATATAGATGGCGATGTTAGTAGAATTCAAGTTGTATGACTGAAGTTGAGGGATGCATCGGGCCTATTGTGCGATAAAAAATTTCCGCTTAGACTTAAAATATAATTTTTATAAGATGGTGGTGAGACACGTACTGCTTTATGGCACAAAATGTTGGCCTATAAAAGAGAAGCATAAAACTAAGTATAGTGTTGCTGAGATGTGAAAGATTTGGTGGATGAGTGGATTTACACTTAGAGACAAAATGCGAAAAGAATATATCCGTGAAAGAATTTTTGTAGCTCTAGTGGCAGACAAGATTAGAGATAGTCGTCTTTGATGATTTGATCACATTAAACGTCGACCATCTAATTTTCAAGCTAGGAGAGATATTTTAGATTTGACTTATGTTAAGAAAGGTAGAGGTAGACTTAAAAGATTTAAGTATGTTGTATCAAAATGATCTTAATTTATTAGAATTGAATGAAAATATGACACTCAATTTGGCACAACAGATAAAAATGATTCAAGTAGCCGAACGCACTTAGTGAGATAAAAGCTTGTTGTTGTTGCTAAAAAAAAATTTTCATGGTGGAAAAAACTTAAGCCTTATCTTAGTATAATTTTCTAGCGCACATAGATTAAGTGTAAAAGATAACTATAATTTTTTAGGTGAAAAATTTCAAGAAAGGAAAAAATTCATAGAGTTTGACTCAGTCAAAACAATTCACTAGAAAATTGTAAGTACAATTGTTTACTATTCTCTTGAATTAGGAAAGTTAGGACTACAAAATTATGTTTAAATCACAACTACATTGAAATAACCTTGCAAATACAACCATATAGGGATTGTTGGAACTACAATAACTCTTTTGGTTGCTACAATAGAGATATTTGGATGTAGGAGTTGTATTTGGTGGTTACAACAATCGTAATTAACTATCACAACTGTATCTAGTTGATAACAAGTGTTAGTGGAGGTCGACGAGTGATAGAAATCGTAGTCGTACTTTTTTCCTTCAAGAGTTATGTTTTAGTTGTTAGCTTGTTTTTTTCTTCACATCCCTCTTCAAGTGAATTATGAGGGTTTATATATAATTTTCTAAGGAGATATTTTGATAAATTTAGCCAGAATTTGAAAACAGTCCATCGAACTGTCCACATTGATTTTTTTGATCGTAGGTCAATTTTTTCTACATATAAGTGCTTTAACAACCTAAAAATTGATTGATTTTTGCATTTTTAGATTCCTCTCATCGAGATGCTCGATTTAGCTGTAAGCATATCAAATTTTGAGATCATTTGATTTACTAATTTATGTACTAAAGCCTCCAACAACACTTCAAATGTTTGATCGAAGGCTTACTTTGTCTTGGATTGGATTACTTTCAGCGTCTTAGACTTGTATTGTCAAGATGCTCAATTTAAGTATAAATTTGATGAAATCAGAATATAGAAGATCCTTAAAAGTTCTTTTATCCAAAATTCGAAAGATCTTTTGTCACTTGACACAATTTTTTACTAAAGATTCACATTCCTTTCTACGACACATTATTACGATAAACCAATTAATTTTTTTAGACTTAATGTGAGTTTTTATAAAACTTCAATGAGGCTGGTGATGTCATATGGATCCAAGTGTTGTGTAATAAAAAAGATTATTGGCAACTAATTTAAGCATGATAAAATTTTGAACATTTTAGATGGACATGTGGCAAAAGAAATGATGGATAATTAAATGATTAATTTTTTTTAGAGTGGATGGAGTGACCTCAACTGAATATATGATAATTTAAAAAATGCATTGTTGGTTTGGATATGTATATTAAACGTTAAAAAATTTTCCACACTCATTAGACTGGTAGTTAAAATTAATCATGTAAGATTAGGGAAGTGAACAAGTAGATTTATATGATAATATGAGTGAAGATTGTTAAAATGATTTATAAAGAATAAATTTAATATCCTCCGAAGCACTCAATAGGAGCATAAAAAATAAAAAGAAGGTTGGTAAAGCAAACTCCAAATATTTGGGATAATAATAGTAATGATGACTATTTAAGTTTTTTAAATAATCACAAAAAATTAGTGAGAAATTTCAAATCATGAAAAATCCTGCTGGTCTCTACTAGAAATTATTGGCTAGATTTTCAAGATCGTAAAGACCACATAGATTTATCAAAATTCAAGCATTTGATGTATGAAATGCGAATATTGAATTAAGTGGGAAAAAAAGAAGATTTCAAGACATTGGCTGATAATTCATGATAAAAATTAGACAAGTATTACAAATTAATAAGTTTTTTAAGTTGCAAAAATTTGTCCCAATCTATTTTATAGCTTTAGATGATTCAAATTTCTTAGAAATTAATTTATGAAGGATTTCTATGGGATATACCCTAGGATTTTGACAAATCATTATTTTGTTGGTTTACTGGAATTTTCTATATCTCCAATTTAGATTGGCATTAGTCTTATAAATAAAAAGTTGATAACTTCGATGAAAATCATGCATGTGATTAAGGGTGCGTTTAGGGCGGTTGTGCGGCATTGCACTGAAGTTTTTTTTGTTTAACAAAACTGCATTTTGTCTGTGTTATCAAAAAGCTGCAGCTGAAAGCTGCATTTTCCTAACATTCCTAGCTACTTGCAGTGACTATTAGAAAGCTGCGTTCTAACTTTTTCATTTTTTTTGTGGCATAGCCTTCGTAGCTTTTTAAACAACAGTTCTTTCTTTAGTGGTTTCACAACTGCTTCTTCAAATAATTGTTAAATAAGATATGCAACAGTTAGTGGTGGTTTAAAATACATTTATGCTTCTAAATAAATTCATTATAATTGCATAACTAGTTTTAAGATGAGAAAATAAAGAAAATTTCAAGTTTATACACATTAAATTTCATGAGGCATTATCTATTTTAGTGACAAACCTCTCATACATGTTTGATTTAAACAATGTGTTTATTATATGGAATGGGAATATCTTTTAAAGAGGGTTAAAGCAAATATTTTTAAGGTTAAAATGATGAATGGCTTATTGATGAAAAAAAGTATCTCAGTTTATTAGAGATAATTCTAATACTTATTTCATCAAGATCTAAATTATTAGATTGATGAATGGAATTTAATAACTTCAAAATGAATGATTTGTCCAATTTTACAACCATGGATACTTTCAAATTCTATTTAAGCAAGGCCATAATGTTCTTCAATGGTCAAAATATATCTTCATGTACATATATGGGAGAGGGAAGGATGAATATCTACAGGTTAACTCTTGGGAAGTGACGGATTCCAATTACGGAGCATGAAAAACTGACGATCACATGGTTATGTTATGGTTAATAAATTCTATGACCACAAAGGTTAGAGAATATTTTTTGCACTTTAGGACAACCAATGAGATATAGGAGGTTGTACGTCAAACTTGCTCTAGCATTGAAAATTCCTCAAATTTATTTAATATTGAGATCAAGCTTCATGATTCACAGAGAATTGAGTGTTATTCTATATTTTAACACTCACACGTTGTTGGCTGCAATCAGAATGTATGAGGTTTATGCTTCGAAATGTCTTGACGACTCTGCTTGTATGAGAGGATCATTGAAGAAAAATGACAATCAAATTCCACCTTGTCCTCAATAAAGATCAAGATAAAATCACGAGAGAATTATGAGAAGGCATTGCAGGAAGGCATTGCAGGATGATATTGTAATTATGAGAAGGCATTGCAGGATGATATTGTAGAAGGCATTGCATAAGTTAGCAGGGAGGAGAGCATAAAGAAGTTAATGATGATAGACTACCACACCGCACAATCTGTTGAAGGATCAACTTTGTACACTCATAAATCCTCTCAAAATAATATGCCCAATAATGGATGATCATGGAGCAACTATTATAAAAAATTTGGATATTTGAAGAAAATATATTAGAAATTACATAAGAAAATTGCAAATTGGAAGCCATATAATGGAAGAGATGGTAGTGAGAACCGTGCAGATGCTACTATCACATCAAATAACAATGCATAATTTAGTCCATCACAAAAAATGTTTAGTGATAATTTCAATTCTGGACGCATCACAATCATATGCAGAAAAATATACCAGTGTTAGTACACCAAAATATCTTATACCATACTTTTATTATTAAATAAACCTAAACTTTGGATAGTTGACACTGGAGCCCCGGATCATGAC